TTTCTCTCCTCTCCCACCCCCAGTTCAGCGGGGATTTCCCCCCTCGTCCCCCAACACTGTGGCCAAGGGCCAGGAGGGAGGGGTTTGGTTCTCCAATCAGTTTTGCACTCATAATAGGTCCATCTACATTGGATTTTCCTAGTTCATGAGAAGGCCATGTGAGACAATATCATAAGCTGTACTGAATTCAAGATATACCAGGTCTACCTCTTCCCACCCCACAACCCATCCACAAGCCTTGTTACCCTGTCAAAAAGGCTATTAAGTTGGTTTGAAGCAATTTTTACTTGACAAATCCATGCTAACTTATGTCTCACCTTATCATCTTCTAGATATTTTTTTAATTATTTGTTCCATTATCCTTCTGGGTTAAGTCTATAATTTCCTTGTTTGTCCTTATTTCCCTTTTAATAGATTGGTACTGTATTTACCTTTTTCTGGTCTTCTGGAATCTCTCACATTTCATGAGTTTTTGAAGATATTTGCTGATGGCTCAGATACCTCCTTAGTCAACTCCTTGAATATTCTAGGATGCATTTCATCAGGCCCAGATGACTTGAAGTTATCTAATTTGTCAGTAATTTTTAACTTATGTTCATATTTTAGCCTCAGATTCTACCTCATTATTACTGGCATTCATTAGGTTAGACATCCAGTCACCACCAACCACCTTGGTGAAAACTGAAACAAAGCCATTAAGCCACCTCTGCCATTTCCATATTTTCTGTCCCCCCCTCATTAAATAATGGTCCTACCCTGTCCTGGGTCTTCCTCTTGCTCCTAATGTATTTTGTCAAATGTTTTCTTGTTACCCTTTATGTCTCTAGCTAGCTTGATCTCATTTTGTGTCTTGTCCTTTCTAATTTTGTCCCTACATACGTATGTTGATTGTTTAATTCATCCTTTGTAATTTGATCTAGTTTCCACTTTTTGTAGGTCTCTCCTTTGATTTTTAGATCGATGATCATCTGGCTGAGCCAGGCTGGTCTCTGGCCATACTTTCTATCTTTGCTATGCAGTGGGATAGTTTGCTCTTGTGCCCGTAATAATATTTCTTTGAAAAATTGCCAACTCCTTTAACTGTTTTTCCCCTTGGACTTGTTTCCCATGAGATCTAACATATTAGTTCCCTGAGTTTTGCTAAAGTCTGCCTTCTTGAAATCCATTTGTCTTTGTTTTGGTGTTCTCCCAACTACCAATCCTTAGAATCAGGAACTCCTTATAATTTCATGAACACTTTCACTGAAGCTGCCTCAACCCCAGTAGCTTTCTATACCATCTGAAATAAAAAAAGTATAAAAATGAAACATACCGTAATCAAGTATGGGAATTTGAGGACATTAGAGAGAAAGTATTGGGTAGTGCTTCATGTATGGAATAGAGTCAGAACAAGTGACCGGTTTTCCAAATTCTGATAAGATCCACAGTCACTTGTTTTCCATTTTGAACTCTGTTGTTGGCCTGTCATCACTTTAGGCAAAACAAATAACCTGTCTCTGCTTCAGTTTCTCCAACTATCAAATGGATGTAATAATACTGCATCCAGGCTATGAAGAATGATGAGTCTTTATTAAAGCAGACATGCATACATGTTAATATAAGATACTAATGCAAATTGCTTTAGCTGCACAGGGTTCAAGAACAGTCCGTGTGTGTTAGATTAAATGTTAATATTTAAAACTATACATGTGACTCATTTGAATTGCTTTGCAGTTAGTCCAGCTGAATGTATATTTTTATTTCAAACTGGCTTGTGATTTTGTATATTGTAATGCATGAATGTATAGATGAATATGTATTATTAGATAAATTAGACAATATGTTTGGCACTGTGCTTTTATTGTTTGTATTGTGGTGGCAACTTCTAAGACCTCATTGTGTTTGACTATGCAAAGACATAGTAAGTGAGGGCCCCTGTCCCCAGATATCTAGCAATAATAAATGAGTGTGAGGAAGCAAGCATTAGGTGGGTAAGGGGAGAATAGGGTAAGGAAAATAAGATTATGTAGTTACATAAATGGATATTACCCATCTTAATGATATGTCAGGATACCACTTTTTATGACGAATAGATGAAAAATCATTTATTCCATGTTTTATGCATAACCAAATTTTTATTGGTTTGCAAATTTGTGGTAAATGTATCAGCAAAGTTGACTCACACTTTAAGAAGGGTCTGAACATTGAATAAAACACTGTGGGAGACTCCTGTCAGAGTTCATTTAGATACATTTGTCAGCAGGGTTTTTTTTAAATCCAATTGCTTACAATTTTTTTAATTTTTGTCTCTTCTCAAAGATGTGACTGTGTGTCAGGGCTTGCTACACCATGCTTTGGCATTTGTTTCATTCCGGTAAATATAAATACAGTTATTTTTCTTATTTTGTTTCTTCCTACATAGGTGACAAAGAAAGTCAAATCTATGCAGATGTTCCATACTCCTGTAACATACGCTATGCAGGGTGACAGAGTAGGTGTCTGTGTGACCCAATTTGATCCCAAGCTGTTAGAACGAGGTCTCATCTGTACTCCAGAATCTCTCCAAACCATACATGCTGCTGTCATCTCCTTGAAGAAAATTCAGTATTTCCGTGGTGCTCTTCAGACCAAGGCCAAGTTTCACATCACAGTTGGTCATGAAACAGTCATGGGAAGAGTGATGTTCTTCAGCCCAGCCCCTGCTGACTTCAGCAAAGAACCTTGGGAGACTGCTTTTGATTTTGAAAAGGAGTATCTTTATCAAGAGGAATACTTATCCAAGGGCTCAAACTCTTCAGAGGAGAACAAGGAAAATGACCAATCAGGAGAAGGACAGCTTCCGAGGCAACAATGGGCTTTGCTGGAGTTTGAAAAACCTGTCACTTGTCCTAAATTGTGCCTTGTGATTGGCTCTAAGCTGGATACTGATATTCATGCAAACACTTGCAGGCTGGCATTTCATGGAGTACTGCTTCAAGGGATGGAAGACAAGAACTACATTGAGACTTTTCTTCCAAAGCTGAAAGTGTATAAATTAAAGCATAAACAAGGACAAGTGGAGAGGGTAAGCTATAGTTCTTAGTACTTTGACACAAAAAAATTAGTCTGTATTGTGATCTGAACCCTGAATTCTCGCTTCCATTAAAAAACAATGGTTTTGTCCTTTTGTTCAAAAAGAAAACCCATAAAAGATTGTAAGTAGCTGATGTAGTATTTCCTGTCTGAGCTTGAAGTCATTCAGCAACATAGGGGGTGTGAACAGCACCATCCCTCTCGGGAAGATGTTAAGTTAGAAATATAATGGCCTCAGTATCATAGTCAATATCAACTACTTCAAAAAATTTTAACGATTTAGTTGGTGTGTTTGTCGGCATACTCAAATGGCCTGTCACAGGGTATGTCTACACTTGCAGCCTATTTTGGAATAGGGCTGCAAATGTAGGCATTCGGAATTGCAAATCAAGCCCAGGATTTAAATATCCTGCGCTTGATTTGCATCTTCCTGGCCGGGCACCATTTTTTAAAAAATTTTACAAGCCTGGAATAACTGCCTGCGTCTACACATGGCAGCGAAACTGGCGTTCGAAATAAAGCCCTATTTCGAACTACCTCTTAAACCTCATTGCAGGAGGAATAACAGGTAGTTCGAAATAGGGCTTTATTTCAAATGCCCGTTTCACTGCCGCGTGTAGACGTGGGCAGTTATTCCGGGCTTGTACATTTTTTTATTTTTTTATTTTTTTAAAAGGCACCAAGCTGGGAAGATGCAAATCAAGCACAGGATATTTAAATCCCGGGCTTGATTTGCAATTCCGAATGCCTACATTTGCAGCCCTATTCTGAAATAGGTTGCAAGTGTAGACCTACCCACACTTTCCCAGGAGCCCCAACTCTCTTCCACCCATCTGCCAAAACCTCTGCTTCCTCTGGCATGTCATAGGTATTCTGTAGTCCATTATTGTGTGGTACATTGAATATTAAAAATATTGAGGCAGCATAACAGAAATTAATATAGGTTTAAAGAATACAAAGAACACTATTTATTGTATTATTAATGTTCATATTCAATTAAATAAGAACCACAGTGATTAAATTTTTTCTCAAAATACCACAGAATCTTCTGTGCTCTGTACAGGAGTGCTACAACGTACAGAAATCTTGCTGCAGGATGATTAAGTCTGTCACTGAGTACATGAGGCCTTGAGTATTACATACTAATTGACTTACTCGGTATTGCCTGGGTCTGGCATGGGAGAGGGGAAAGGGGTGGTGGTGCGGAGACCTCCTGGTAGTGCTCCCCAGGCCCTAGTCTGTGCTGGCCTGCTGGTGCAGCCAAACTAGGCAGCCCATTGGTACTAGGTGGGGAATGCCTTTGGGTTCTGCAGAGGGGTGGGTCAGTGCTGCCCTGCTCTTGGGGGGGGGGGGGGAGTGTGCAGTGGTAGGGTTTTCCCCACCACTCTTCAGGCTGGTACTGGGGCAGAGGTCCAGGGCAGAGGGGTTTGGGGTAGAAAGGGCCACTTACCTGGGCCAGTGTCTGGCAAGATGGTGAGCCCGGTCCCCAGATGGCCAGTCCTTTCCTGGTGTGACTGCCCCCAGTGGTCACTCTGCAATATAGCTGTCCCTCACACTTGCTCCCCTCCCCCCCCAGTGGTGACTGTGCAGTATCGTATCCCTTTGATCAACCCCCTCCTTTTCCATGTTATGGAAAACAATCCAATTCCAGGCACTTCCTGTTTTCCTGCCACAATCAAGACCTGACCTTGCTTTAAGTTAGGATAAGAGGAAGCTACATACCAAATTTGTTGGTCCTAGTTGTTACCATTTAGGAGGCGTTCTTGAACAGATGGATTCACAAACAGTTGGATGTCTCTAAAATATCATAGAATCATAGAACTGGAAGAGACCTCAGAAGGGCATCAAGTCCAGCCCCCTGCTCTAGGCAGGACCAATTCCAACTAAATCAACCCGGCCAGCGCTTTGTCAAGCCGAGACTTAAACACCTCTAGGGATGGAGACTCCACTACTTCCCTAGGTAACCCATTCCAGTGCTACACCACCCTCCTAGTGAAATAGTTTTCCCTAATATCCAACCTGGCCCTCCCCCACCACAACTTGAGACCATTGCTCCTTGTTCTGCCATCTGTCACTACTGAGAACAGCCTCTCTCCATCCTCTTTGGAACCTCCCTTCAGGAAGTTGAAGGCTGCTATCAAATCCCCCCTCACTCTTTGCTTCTGCAGACTAAACAGACCCAAGTCCCTCAGCCTCTCCTCATAAGTCATATGCTCCAGCCCCCGAATCATTTTGGTTGCCCTCCGCTGGACCCTCTCCAGTGCGTTCACATCCTTTTTGTAGTGGGGGGCCCAGAACTGGACACAATACTCCAGATGCGGCCTCACCAAAGCCGAATAAAGGGGAATGATGACCTCTCTGGATCTGCTGGCAATGCTCCTCTTAATGCAACCTAATATGCCATTAGCCTTCTTGGCTACAAGGGCACACTGTTGCCTCATATCTAGTTTCTCATTCACTGTAACCCCCAGGTCCTTTTCTGCAGAACTACTACTTAACCAGTTGGTCCCCAGCTTGTAACTATGCTTGGGATTCTTCCGTCCCAAGTGCAGGACTCTACACTTGTCCTTGTTGAACCTCATCAGATTTCTTGTGGCCCAATCCTCCAATTTGTCTAAGTCATTCTGTACCCTATCTCTGCCCTTAAGCGTATCTACCTCGCCCCCCAGCTTAGTGTCATCCGCAAACTTGCTGAGGGTGCAATCCATCCCCTCATCCAGATCATTAATAAAGATATTGAACAAAACCAGTCCTAGTACCGAACCTTGGGGCACTCCGCTAGAAACCGACCGCCATCCTAACATCGAGCCATTGATCGCTACCCGCTGGGCCCGGCCTTCTAGCCATCTTTCTATCCGTCTTACCGTCCATTTATCCAATCCACAATCCCTTAACTTGCTGGCAAGAATATTGTGGGAGACGGTATCAAAAGCCTTGCTAAAGTCAAGGTATATAACATCCACTGACTTCCCCATGTCCTCCGAGCCAGTTACCTCATCATAGAAGCTAATCAGATTGGTCAGGCACGATTTGCCCTTTGTGAATCCATGCTGACTATTCCTAATCACTTTCCTCTCATCCAAGTGCCTCAATATGGATTCCTTAAGGATCCCTTCCATGATTTTTCCAGGAACCGAGGTAAGACTGACCGGCCTATACTTCCCTGGATCATCCTTCTTCCCTTTTTTGAAGATGGGCACTACATTTGCCTTTTTCCAGTCATCTGGGATTTCTCCCGATCTCCACGACTTTTCAAAGATAATAGCCAAAGGCTCCACAATGACATTTGCCAACTCCTTCAGTACCCTCGGATGCACTAAGTCCAGACCCATGGATTTATGTACATTTAGCTTTTCTAAATAGTTCCTAACCTGTTTTTTACGCACCAAGGGCTGTCCATCTTCATCCCATCTTGCGTCACTTGGCGCAGAAGTCCAGGAGCCGACCTTGTCCGTGAATACAGAGGCAAAGAAAGCATTGAGTACTTCAGCTTTCCCCACATCATCTGTCACTAGGTTACCTCCTTCATCCATTAGGGGCCACACACACACTCTGATCACCTTCTTCTTGTTAACATGCCTGTAGAAACCTTTCTTGTTATCCTTCACATCCTTAGCCAGTTGCAATTCCATATATAGAGAGAATATGCGTATATCATATACAATGTATGGTAAGCTATGTTACAAGACATAGGACATTTCTGAAAATCAGGTCCTTTTTGAGCCATCCCTAGAGGAGAACCAAAATCACTAGTAACTATTCACAACCCATCATGAAAGAATACATAGGACCTTTTGCAAGAGAAAAGAAATTTGTCCTAAGATTTAATTTGGGTAAATACATTGTGACTATTTTTACAGGCCCTTCAGTTTCTAATATATTATTTTTTCTTCACTTTCTGTGTTAAAATATTTCTGGGCTCATTGATTAATGTGCACAGTTGCACACAGACCCACCCACGCTACTGCCTCTTTATCAGAAGCAGCACTACAATGGATCTGCCTGTCCTCCTGTGCAGTTGCCTCTGATACAAAGGCAGCAGTATAGGTGGGTGAGAGGGCAGGCAGGAGCCGGTATGTGCAGGGACCTTGTCCCCCTTCCCTCCACCCCCTGCTACCATACCATTTGTTGGTTTTTTCTAATATTCTTTGGTGGTCCACCTCAGTCCTGGCTGCATTTCAGAAATTGGTGGAAAGCCATTTGTAGATAGAGCCTAAAATTCCTTAGTGAGAAGTGCTCTAGAAAGGTAACTCTGTACATTTGTAATCAGCTATCCTTTTTAATGTTAATATAATTAACTGGTAATGTTTACATGGTGCTTTGAAAATGTAAAATGTGATGATAATGCTTAGCAATTATATATTTTTAATTTATATGCTAACAGAGAAGTGTTAATATTTCTGCTTATAGTACAAAAACCGGATCATTCTAAAAAAGCAATCTATAGCCATCTCAGACCTGGTTCTTAGCACACTGCTGTAGTGAGGTGCTGTGCAATCCATTTCTATATTTTTATGGGAAGAACTAAACTTTTATGAAAATAGATGTCAGTACATTTTGTTACAGAATTCTTAATTTTTTATTTACTCTGTAATCTGCAATAAGTGCATATTAATGAGGTTTTTCTCTAAAGCACTATTAATTACATCCAGACAAGCAATTAGTGCTACTCATTTATTATTTTCTCCTCCCCCTTTCTCTCTGAGGGCCAGTCTGCAGTACGTTTCTACTTCGGCACACTGGCACCTGTTCAGTTGTGCTGCTGCAGTGTGCCTGGAGAAAACGTGCTGTGGCGATAGGAGAATGCTCTCCTGTAGGCATAATGACTTTAACTTAACAAGAGGCAGAAGCTATTTGCTCTCCCACCGATTTAGTGCTGGTATTGATGGCGCTTAGATTGATGTAACTTGTATCACTTGGGGGATGACTTTTTCACATTCTTGAGTGTTATATGTTACATCAACTTCAGTGGTAGTGTAGACAAGCCCTGAG